TAGTAAGTTATTTTCTCATCACAAATATAACCCATGGATAGTGATAAGTACACTATACCTTACAAGAGTATGGTACTCTGGCATAGACCCAAAATGCATCTTCATCTTTCTGAATATTCAGCATTAAAACAAAAGGCTGTCTGCAATTTATAGCAAGAAGCGTGATGAGAAATAAAGCCATTAAAGTCATATACTGCTTCTTATTACATTAGTGAAACAGCATGTACATAGACCCACACATACTCTATATCATGCCGTAACACATTGAGGTCAATATTGTAATTTTTATGCATAATGATGACATATTCCATATAGAAAAGGTATGGATCTGAATTTAGGTACATAGAGCAAAGACAATAGATTCCAGATAATAAACTATTCTGCACAAGACCAAGGAAACTACTTTGGAGGAATGGATTTTCTGTTCTATGTGATAGAAGGAAATGATTTCACTAGTACATTCAGCATATTGCATAAAGTGAGCAGCATATTAATGTTCTGATTCAGTCTATCTCCCTGATCATTTTTTATTGTTAAATTCTAAAGCTTGAGTTAAGAAGGAGATATGAGATAAAGGACAGTTTCTTAGGAATATAGCTTTCTGCTTAGCAGCTGTCAAGTCCATATGGAGCCTTGCATTGCATAAAATTCCCACTGAAACTGCCAAAGCCAGCAAAAGCTTTAAAATAATCAGCTGAGGTCAAGAACCTTGTCTTTAAATTAGGGATTATAAAAGAAATATGTGACATAAACAATATGTCAATGCAACAAGGTAAACTAACATTTTACAAAGGGTAGGGGATTTAACACTACCTAATTAATAAAGGTTTGGGGTAAATTTATTTTGAAGTACAAAGGAACATTATAAAGAGTGTGACATAACACATACTCCACCCCATTGTATGAAATAGCAATAAAATTCCAATACTAAAACTACAAAACCATTATACTTGATGGGTATGAGTTTATCCCTTGCAGTAGTCATAATTTTCACAGTTTTGTGTCTATTTTCAAGGTAAAGATACTGAGAAGGGTAATGATTCAAGTGTACAGTGCTCTACTCCTTGTCCCTCAAAGAGATGGGATAGGAGGAACCTTGAAGAAGACACAGAGAAATCCCTTCTGAGGACTTCTAGAAATAGGAAGTCCTCAAACCAGTGATATCAAACCTGACAAAATATCACATGGCTTGAGGCTGGTGTCTCTATAGCAGAGGATACTAGCCTTTCAGCTTGTCAGAGTAGTGAAGGAGTTTGACTTTTTATTTTTCTGTTTATACAATACACATTACTATATATATATATATATATATATATATATTATCAGTATCTACTTTCCTAACTTGCACTATTTTTCCTGGGCACCAGTTTCAGCACTTCAGTGCAGAAGGAAGACGTTTAAACTTGTTATTTCTCTTACTCTATGGCAATATCAGGTTCTGTCACCTAGATTTCATCCAGCATAAGAAGAAATGTATGACTCTGTATATGTGACCTGCATGTATATGTATCAGCTTACATGAAAGCTTTTGGTAATCTCTGTGCCACATGAATGGAGAACACTATGATGTTGTTTGAGTTTGGGGTTGTTTAAAGAAGGCAATCCTGCCTCCTCTCATGGCTTCAGTCTCCTCAGGAGTTCACCTTCACCTTCCCCTTCCCAAGATGGGTGTGAAGAATCTAGGGGCTGTAATTGGAAAATGAGGCCAGAGGACAAAGTTAGCACAGGAAAAAAAAAAAAAAAAAAAAGCCTTTCTGGAAGAGAAATTTCTTTTTTCTTGGAAGCAGTGAAGGGGAAGCAGTTTTGCCTTTATCATCTGAAGATGAAAAATAGCTCTTTTACTTCTGTGTCACCAGTTCAAATATAATCTGCTGCGACAATAACTGAACTGTTACCATCTGTATCCAGTGCTGCATGGGAATTGGACATTTGCTTTAAGGGAGATCAGTGTGGACTGCTACTGAAAGAGGAGGTCCCAGTCCCCAACCACAAATGTTCCCACCAGCTCCCTTGTGCTGGCACAATAGCCCATGCAGCCATGTGGTGAGCTAGTTTAGGGAACTGATCCAACGGAAAACAGCAAAGAAAAATAAAACAATTAGTTTTCAGCTGAATCTATTTCCTGAGATAATTCTTGAACAGCTGCACACACACTAGTGCCAGCATTGGCACAAAAGAGGCAACAGGAATGAGCAGCCAAAGCGAGGAGATGACTTGCAGTGATCAGACTGAACATCAGTCCATCCACTGCCTGGACTTCTCTATTAAATTAAAAAGCAATGCTTAACACTGCTACTGTTTCATTAAGGACAAACCTGAGACTTGCATGGAATCAAAATTGGGTGTCTAGAAATCTGAACTCCTTGGACAAAATAAGGTGAAATTGAATCTTGATCTGCAGTTGACAATGTTCTGATCTTGACTGTGTGACCACTCTGCTGCAGATGTTTTTTTTGTTTCTTTTTTTTTTTTGGGGGGGGGGGCGGGGGGAGGGGCAGAAGAGGGAAATGTCTTTAAGTAGAATGTAAACTTTGGTCTATTTACAGTTGCTGGTAAGCAGATATGAAGGGACAGATACTAAATGAGAATCTAGTATGTTCCCACAAGACTGACTACAAATACTTAAGATTACACTCACTAGATCATTTCAATGACTTACACAGAAAAGAGATACAAAACATCAAAGGTTTTAAGTTACATTAAGGCACAAAGAAAAACCATGTTATCTCTATAACATGCTCAAAACATCCTGAGAATGAAGTGCTTACTTTAAGGAAATTATACTATATTATATGACTTGTCATGACATTTTTTCATGTAGTAAATGGAATTTACTACACTGTTATTCACAGGCATTTCCTTACAGTACAACAAGAAGTTATTGTCAAATTTGTACCAAATGTTGCCTTTTTTTTTTTTTTTTTTTTTTTTTTTTTTTTTTTTTTTTTTTTTTAATGGATTATGCTGTATGTTATACGAACATTCCTTCTGAGCTGGAATGACATGAATGCCTTTTCTCCTAAAAAACTCTCTTCAGGTTAGAGAATTATTTCCCCATATATATATATATATATGTTGTTGGCAGCATATATATATGTATGCTGTTGGCAGTAAAAAAGATGGTGTCACCATCTGCACTATGCTATCCTACAAACAATCACATAACCTGGTGCAGTTCTCTGTAGTGCACTGTTATCAAAAGGCCCTGCCACCACTCAGCTTCTGGGCAGGATTGTTCTTTCCTTAAAGTATGTTTCAGGTACTTGTCATTCAAGAGATTATAGACCAAAGTCATAAGCATTTGTGCACTGATTTATACAAATATAGCATGTGTTTCACTGATTTCAAGGCAGACACTGATTTCAAGGCAGACACAGTCCAATTTCCTATTAATGTGGCCTGTATTACGAGGATGAATGACACACACCTCCATCTCACCTCGAGGGCTTACTAGACAAGACACTGCTGCCAGCTTTCAGCAGGTGTCTGTGACTAAGGAGGATTCTAATTGCTAATTTCAGAATCCTAAATAGCATGAAATAACCACCTAATTCTTTATGTGTTACAATCTTTATTCTTAAGAACAGAGCATTTCCATATAGAAATGTGAAAAGACGCTCCTGCATTTTTGTGATTGCAACAGTAAACAGCAATCTGGGATGCCCTTTCAAAAAAGTTTAATTTTCATGAACTATATAGAGACTACATTTTCCTCTTGACATCTAATGAGATTATTTTTCTGAACTGTCTTAAGATCTTTCAAAACAGAGTACAACAATTGATGAACAATTTCAGTCTGTTACTGAAATAGTAAGTATTCAGCCACTTTTTACAAATTTCTTCTCAATTCTCTTTAAATATACTGCACAATTATATGATTTCTGTACCCTGCAGTGACATGTTAATGTGGAAACACCATGCAAAAGTCTTCTTCGGTGCTTTTTATTGTACTGCCGGTATTTATATGAACCTACAAATTCAATGAAGGTGTAGGATATGAAAGAATAACATTAGCTTTCAGATATTTTAATTTCATAACTGTGGTTACCAGCACCAGCAATGTTCTGGGCGCAACAGAGACGTTTTCTGTCTCTCTATTATGCTCCACCATGCTGACGAATTCTTGGGGAGTTTTGAGCAAAGGGTGATACAGCAACCAGCCATGTGAGCAATCATTCAGGGATTCATTCATCTATGGATCGCTAACACAGCACTCCATATCTGCTCTAAAGGAAAGTTCTTCGTAAGATGGTTCAATGTCTACTTTACCTACAGGTTTTTGACATGACTGACRTACGTACTTTGAAGAAACAGTTATAATATATTGTGTTTAATGGATTGCTATACAAGTCCACTCAGACACAAATTATTGACAAGAGAGGCTGCAACTCTCTGCAGTGTCAATGCATGCCTGGGAAGCTGTATTCCATAGATTATTGACAAGGGGGCTTTTAAATGATTCTCCTCCTCCAATTAAATTCCTTCACACTCTTACATACTATAATTCACAGATTATCACTGTGATATTATTAACAATAGGGGAAATATAAAACTATAACTGTAACTATTGATATATAAAAGCTGTTTTATTAGGAGTAACATTAGGTGATTGCAAATTCTTTATTCCTTGCAGAACTGACGCTGTGGGCTGTGACTTCTCCTACTACGTATTATGTTCTGTCAACACATAACATTATATAGAAGAATTTTTAAATAATTTAAGGAGCCTCTAACTGCAGAATATATGGATGCTATAAGTCTAACCACTAAGAATCATTCATACACTACTTCAAGTACATATACATGGGATCAGTCTGATGCATATGCTTATTAATATACAGATTAGCCCCCTTGACAATGTTGTCATTTTATATAGAGAACTTGTGTCATGATTTTAACAACATGTGAAACCAACATCAGGCTTTATATCTATTGAAGATATTGCCAAACACAGATGACATTATTAATTATTTTAAGAATGAGAAAATTGGGAAAATTACCTCATATTCCTGTGAGAACTTCAAATTGTCATTTGCTTTCAATCTTTCAATATGATCTGCAAGTTCCAATATAGGTATTGGAGGATGACTTGCCATACCTGTTGAACAAGAAAGGAGAAGAACATTTAAAATAAACTAAAGTGATGCCATGACTCTAAAAATCAGAAGATGTAGTAGTTAGAATGGCTAGAAATGTGTAAGTAGTAAAGATGTTTTATGTGAGAGAAGCAGGCAAATAGTTTGGTTACTCAAAGCAGGACATGCTCTGTATAGATGAGGTCTGAAGCCAAATTAAAAAAAGTCACCAAGCATATTCCCAAAGCTAACATTCCTGGTGTAAAGGAGAGAGTTATTGCAATATGAGTTCAGTGCGGTTAGCTAAGCATGGAAAAATGAGACTGCTAGACCTGATGTTGACCTCTGCTTTGAGTAATGACTCTTAATGTCATTTCAAACTCCTTCTCCTGCACTGTATGAAATGGAAACTGCATTGAATTAGATGAGGAAAGGTGAGCTGAGAAACAGACACTGAAAGAGCCCTAAAGGGGAAAGAATAGTATTTTGACAGAAAACAAAGTGACTTATGCATAATCAAGAAAAACAAACTTGAAGAATGAAGGTTACCAAGGTAACCGCAGACACCTGAACCTGCAAAGGAAATGGTAAAAAACAAAGAAATCCCCAAATCAACAGAAAAGTAATATATAAAAGAAATTTTAAAAATGAAATGGAAAGATTGAGGATTAATAGTAATGTATCGAGWTCTAGAAGACTGACTACACATTCCGACTGTATCAGAAGTACTTTACTAATTTTATGAAACTTTGAAGTGACTGACACATGCAGCTGTGGATGACCGGAGTATCATGCACCATTGCTTATAGACAACAGTCACGGAAGACAAGATTGGACATCAGACAATTAGAGCTTCAAAAATGTTTTCACTAGTAGCAGATTGTAGAGGCAGGGGTTGTACTGTTCTGCTGGACACACATATCTAGCTGCTCTAGAACCTTAAAATAAGCTTATTCTAAAACCCCATTTATCAACCCCCAAAAGTACCTACAATCTACTTCAGGTGTAAACATCTTTGTCTACTGATGAAGGTACCGAATGAAAAAGAAGAATAAAAACTGGGAATTGGAAATAAATATGGGTGAGAAAGGAAATACTGGGAAGGCAAGGAAAAAGGGAGACATAAAAAGATGTGGAGCCAACTAGCACAGTCTGCCAGCTGAAGATTTGTCAGGCCAAAATTTATGAACTTWTTTTTCTCAATCTATTAATAATCTTCATGAGCCTTTCCAAGATGCTTACAATCTTCTCTTCAAGCTTAATAGTGTCACATCAAAGACAAAAGTGTGTTTTCAATTTCTTATGGGAAGAAATCAGAGCTGGCTAGAAAAAATAAGCTAGTGAACCCCAAGATCTCTTGAAACTACAAAAGTAAAACAGTGATGACTCAAGGGGGCTCAAGCTGGAAGCCATGTTGCACAGTGCAGGTTGTTTTGTCACCTTGAAGTTTTAGAGCATGACTGAGACAGTTAACTTGTATTTCCTATAATGTAGCCAAAATGACCATGTGGTTACAACACAGTCACACTATAGCATGTCATTTCCTCTAAAATCTTTTTTTTTTTTTTTTTTTTTAATTTTGATACTTCTGGCATCATTCAATATAGTAGAGTAAAAAATGATGCCCAGAAGTGACTCTAATTTGCCTCACCCTATATGTATACATTTATGTATTACCTTCATAGCACATCTGTGATGGTGATGGAGACATTATTTAAAGTAGACATAAAAGCAAGGTGACAGCAAACTAAACAAAGCACAATATCCAGATTTAATCATATATTTCTAAGACTTTTTAAATAAAAAATTAGTCTAAATTTAATTTATATCTATCAGTTCTGGGTGTGACCCATTTTCTTAGAAATTTCATTTAGTAGGCTTTGGTTGTTCTCAGAGTGTTGGTGACAGTCATCTAATAAGCAGATTGATCCAGATCAAGCACCCTCATGGAAAGTATGGAAGTGAAAAGGCACAAGGAAACTCTAGATTTATCCAGAAATGAAGGTGGACTGATGCACATCTAAAACAGTGCTTGAACAGAGAAAAAAAACAGAGACAAAGATGTTTAGACCTTTTCGAGCGAATCGTGGGAGAGAGTTATTATCATATAAGGACTGAGTGGTAGTTTGGCTAGAGAGGGAGGACACAGAGCCAATCAGGGAGGCGTAGGGGACTGAATTACTGCTCAAAGCTGTAAAAAGTAAAAGCCAATCGGAAATGGGAAACAAATTAGTAACAGCAGTAGACCATCATAATTAATCAATCTCGTACATACAGGCACTTCAGACATGCACAAAATAGAGCCTGGAAACTCAGCTAAGAAGATGTATAAAGGTCCAATTACCCGAGGGTAAACAAAAAGGATATAAAACTGAAGAAAATGAGACTTGCTCATTACTGGAGGAACCTGACTAATTCACCAGCGTCATGAATCCAAATCTCAATAATTAGCTTCCTGGGAAGGCTATTTATTTGTTGGAACAGAGGATGAACATCCACTCTTTTTTAAACTACTTTTATTTATGTACACTTTTATATACCATCCTGCATTCTTAAGGGGACAATTTATATTAAACATTTTGTGGGAAATAGAACTTGATATAAAACTTTCTTTTTCTTAAAAAAAAAAAGAAATGATGAACCACTAGCATCTTCTCAAATTGATTTTTTTTTTTTTTTTTTTTTTTTTTTTTTTTACTGCACATAACCCCATTTCTGTAGGACTCATTTTAGGCACTTACAATTGAATATTCTTTTACTTGCTTCAGATAATATTTTCCAGTGAACATATAAAGTCAATTGGTGCCTTTTTATTTTTTAAGCAGACATAACACGCTCTACTGAGATGATAAGTTTTTTTGTTTCTTTGTTTGTTTTTTGGAACAGAACCGCTGGAAGACTTTTGCTATACAATTACTCTAAGGATTCTAGTGTATGAATGTATAAACTTATTAATTCATTTTCATTGATCACAAGCATCATAACAGAATATGCTATGAATGGATGTTTTAAGATCTCCTCCTCCCTCAGAAAAAAAGCATGTAAAAGCTTACTGTAAGTTGCATGTGAACAGTGGGTGTGGAACTTCACCCCAAAACATTGACCTTTACCCCCCMAAAAATATATAGCTAAACATGCGTATTTTTGTGGCTACATATAACAAAATACATTTCTTGAGACAAGTTCACGTCAAACAACATATGCTATGAAAACAGAAAAAAATAAAACAGAATATAGCTAAGCTAAAACAGACCCTGTGACATGCTAGTAAGTTCAAAAGAAACACCATGCCAAATACATGCTTTCAATGTTATTCTTTAAGAATAAAATAAAGAGATAAAAACATAAGTCCATATGTCAAATGCTTTTTAGAAAAGTCAATCATGCAAAGCAAAGATGAAAATCTATCCACAGACAGCCTTTATTTCTAGATTTGGCAGAAGATCATTAAATCTTCTTATGCAGGATAGTTGTACCCCTGCTACATGAATTGAAAAGGAACTATACAGTTTAACTTCAGTGTAGAAATATCTACTGGTTATTCTGTGGCAGACACAGAACTAAGGACATGGGATTATATTCCACAATTCTAATGCACAACTGAGAAAATAKGATCAGAATTTATCTACTTAATTGATCTAGCTGTTAAACTTTTGAAGTGTATTCTTTTACCCACTGACATAAGAGTACTTGCTGTTAGTTTGTTAAATTATGATTTTGTTTCTTCTTAGACTTTCATTTTAAAGGCTTTTTAAAATATCTATGGAACACACTGATTTTTGGAGATGGACTTAATTTGCTCCCAATGAATAAGAAAAAAATATGAGTGAGAAATAAAATGGAATGCATAGCTTCTATAATACAGTCTAAGCTTCAGATGAACTGAAAATGTGACATATAATTTTCACAGATAATTTATTATGAAATGAGCTGTGTTTGAGGACCACATCAAATTAACATCTTGTGATTTTAAAGACTCATTTATTACAATACATATTCAGTTTTATTTAGTAACACAGGGAAAAAAATCAATCTATATTAATCTAATTCCCTGCATAGAAAAAGAAAGAAATAGCAACTGTACTGCTTTCTTTTATCAGAATAATAAAAAGAAATACAAATGTAAAATTTGGACATGGAAGAACAGAAAAGATATAAGATGACCCTCGTGGCAGTAGGAATTTGGCATCCATTATTATTTATCAGTATGTCTTTACTGCATATTACAAAGGAATCAACCGCATTATAAATTTTCTTGCTACTACAGTTACCGTTAACTCAGTAAGTGATTTTACACCTTGCAAATAAGGTAAATTTACAAGATGAGCTATAGGGAAGTGTGATGCAATAACTAGTCCAAAATAGTTATATACAAATCCACCAGCATAAAGTCACTCTTATTCAAGAAGAACTGGCTTTCTCCAAAAGTGAGTTAATCATTTTGGAATAAATGTGAACTTTATTCTACACCAAAGATGTGGATCCACAAAGAAGTTACAGGAGCTCTCTTGGCTCATGGCAAAATCCAGACTGAGGCATAAAAACTCCCTACAGTGAAAACCAGGGAATCCTAATTTTGAGACCCTGCCTCAAAACTGCTATATACAATATTGAAAAGTCATTGGCTAAAATCCTAACAAACAAACAAACAACTCCAAACAAAAACATCCTTCTTGCAATGAGTACAAGTTTCAACTCCATTTCCAGCTAAGCAGAGCTTTCAGTGCTTCTAGGTTAAACAGCAGCCAAGGAACATATCTGAGAAACAGGTGCCATTTGCACTCCAAAACTGAAATACCACTACAGGTGCTTGAACTCTTCATGTGGTTAAATTTCAGTTGATTTCCATCATGTAGACAAATCCCATCTTTGCCTTCACTATTGGTATTATTCTTATAAAAAGAAATTACATAAATAAACTCAGGGAAAAACATGTCTGCTAACTTTTTCAGCTTTTCAGCTTTTTCCATTGGAATTCACTTTACTTTTTGCCTTATCTTGGAAATAGGTAGTGCATCTTCACTTGAAACTTACTCAGAATTTCATAAATACTTATTGAATAAAATATTAGAATGTTTAATTTAGAGTTATAATAATTGTATTTATTTTCTTATCTTTCAAAGCACCTTATCTAACTGATAAGAGATAATGAGATAATTGTTTAATTGGCACCCAATTACAGAAATTACTTGTAAGTGTGACACATTTTGTACTTAAATGAAGAAAAAAAAAAGTCACTTTTCAGGAATGACTCAGTCTAGATCTTCGCCTGATTTGTAGACTGAAGTCTTTCTCTTGGGTCTCTTATAACCCACTCAAACCACTTAACATGAGTTATTTTCCCTTACAAAACCACTGCTTCCTTATTTTATGAAACCTTTTTAAGTGTTTAATTATTTTCTCTTCCATTCTCTTCCCTTAGCCTCCCAAGAGGCTTAYTGACTTACAAAATTTGCATGACAGGTTAATGAATATAATCCCATATTTTGTAGGAAAACTGCAGAATGGGAAGAAAGTGGATGACCCTCCTGCAGCCACTTCAGCTCCAGAAGAATTACAGAGACATAAATATAATCCCTTATGTTACTGAGAAATTGGGTATTTTCATATTTTTCATATTAGAAAAAAACCTTGGCACAGCTGTGACCCACTCACTGGCATATGGACTTATCTAACAAATAGACCTTTTTTTTTTTTTTTTTTTTTTTTTTTAAACACATACGGACATGAGATCTTGTCCTCAGATGTAGAACTGTGGGCTATTCAAAATGTCAAGACAAATGCCAAATTTATCTATGGAGTTACTCCATCCACAGGAGTAAAACCAAAGATGAATTTGAATTCTCATGAACAAGGTAAGATAAAAAATAATTTAGTTAAGTAACAGATAAGTGAGGAATGTAGTTCTTATTTACAAGGCAAGAAATATGACAAGAGAGCAAGAGATTTACTGTTTTGGTAGTTTTTAATTTTTATGACATCTTCATACTAAGTTATCAATTTCATGACTAATACAACTTAATTGTTGCCAAAATAACTGCACGGACATCAACATGGATAAAATACTTTTTCCCATAATTTCTTTCAAACAGTTATATCTAAACATCCATATCCAGAATATCTTATACTTGTGCTTAGAAATTCAAATTTACCACAACAGGAGATTTGTTTTCAAATTATCCTGATAGCTATATCAGATCAGATCCTATTTGAACAATAAGACATAATTTCAGGATTTTTTGTAAAGATGATGTTTAGAAATCTTTTGACAGATTAAAGTTTATGAAAATCTTGTCTTTTATAGGTGTATTTAATTTATCCCTCCCTCCCAGTAGAAAATGGCATTTTAACTAAATCAATGTAATTTATTTTTTGCTCCTCTATTATTTAAATTTGCAATGTTTCTCTTACATATGTATATACATATACTCATATATTTATTTATCTATTTATCTACTTATTTATCAGAATCAATACTGTGCCTGGAAAACCTGTGGATACTTTCACAGCCCAAATGAAGATATTATAATAATGATGTTGAATTATCTATTGTAGTGGATTGTACTTACTTGGTGTACACTAACTGTTAAAGCACATTCACCACCCTGTCATTTAAATCATCTTTTGGCAAAAATGTTGAGAATTGGCAGCATCCTGCATGGTTGCTATGGGCATTATATGAGGGATATTGCACAAATTCTATCAAAAAACAAACAAACAAATCAATGTCCCTCCCCCCCCCCCAAAGGAAGCAACAACAACACATAAAATCAACGCCAACTCTTTCCATCAACACAAATTTCTTCATCCTCTCTCCAACCAGCTGCCTGATTTTCCCCAACAGCTGGCTATCTATTTTTTTTTTCTTTTAATGGTTGAAAACTCCACTATACTGCTGGGAGAAAAAGTACCACAACAAAAACAAGAGCTGTTATGCTGARTGTAGAGCCTTTCTGCTCTTCCTCTCTCTGGTTCTATCATCTGGAGTGACATTTCATGACGTGTTACTGGATAGAGTTGGATAAACGCTCTAGCACAACCTAAGTGCCTATGATCAATTCAGTTCAATCATCTGATACACAATGATGCCTCTCAAGACTCTCTGCTGGACTCCTTAAAAGAAATGGTAGTTCTAATTTAAGTTAATAAACTGAGTTTCTGCTTCTAATAGTATAGAATTTTATCTGTTTTTCACTGAGGCTAGAATTTCATCCTAACATTTATTAAATAGCAAGATAAATCTATTGGGGTAGGATTTTTTTCACTGAGATTTGTTTGTGTGCTTCCTCTGTGCCTGATCTTAAACTAGCAATCTTAGGTGCTATAAAAGAGGATCATTAATTCCATTCTGTGCTACATATTTTTTTTTCTAAATTTGAAAACCTTCATTTTACAAAGAAAGGTTTACTTTCAAGGAAGAGATCTCATAATAGAAATGAACTGCAGATACTCTGTTCAACTAGCTTCACAGACAACTACAGCTTCACAGACAAACTATAGAACTATAAAGAAAGGTACACATCTATTCAGTTCTCTTCAGATCAATGAGGTAGAATTGCAGCAGTTGCAAAAGCCATTTAAATGAAATGTTAGTAAGAGCTGACAGATATTTTTCCTCATACATTTTACTTTTACAAATGACAAACAATAAATGACTAGAAAAGACTCCATGTTTAAACACACATATACCAGAAAATGTTCATTATATACCTAACTACTAAGTAATCTATACTTCTGAGTATACAGTTAATGACTTGTTTCAGAATATATTAATCTCTACTAATAATCTCTACCATACATATGTATATGTACTTCTACCACTATGGGAACATTTAAAATTTAGTGATTAAAACTTTTCATTACTTAGGGACAATTAATGAACAAGTATAAGTCTATATTAATGTTCCAATCTTGATCAGAAGCACCATTTTGAATCAAATATTTCAATTGTTTTCAATTACTGCACTGGTTCATATTATTTAGAGGACCCAGGACAGACTGAGGAAATTCTTGGATTCAGATCAAACTAAATCTGAGGATTCATTTCACAAACACACCTAATGAAGAGCCATCTACCAAAACACAGCAGAGCAAATCCAAGGTAAAACTCAGGCCTCCAGACTCTTCTCCCTCCTCTCTGCTTGTGGATGTGGATGCTACAGCTGCAAACACCTTGCTCTGCAGATCTACTCGGTAGGGGCAACACCAGCTTAACTCCTTCATAATACTTTGTATTTCATCTTTTTTAGATAACTTTTCAAAACCTGAAGTATTTAACTTCCTGCCTTTGTAACACTGAATTCATTATTGCTGTTATTATTATTGCGCTCAGTGTAATATGTTCAACAAACACTATCCTCTGGATAAATTACGAAGATTTGCTAAGTAATTAGTATCAGAGCGGAACTCCATGCAATCATATAGTAACAGATAATGAGTCTGCTAGAAAGCACCATGATCAAAATATTAACAACTTTAAAAGACAAATTTAAAACTAAAGTATCAACTCATGCAAACCAATACTATTTAAAATATTTCCCTCCTCCTGTTTTGTGACTATTGAAGATAACTGCTGCAAGAAAATAACGCTTAACAAGTAAATGAAGAAAATTGGAAATATTCTGCCAGGTGTTATTTCTACCTTTCAGGAATACTGACATATTAGTATGTTCTTTGAACTCTTTGAACCTAGCATACAGCCTGATTTCAAAAGGTAAGACCATTTATCTAGCTAGTATTTCTTTCTTGCATTGTATATTTGCAATGCAGCAAACATTTCTAGCAGTTTTGATAGACTACCTGGTAATGCAGTAGATTTGAGGGAAACTTACTTGAACAAAGGAAACATAAATATACAGTTAATAAACAAAGAGATATATTTTCCAGTATTTTAGAAATATATTTTCCAATGATATCTTCTAATGTTCTTGGACCTATTTGCAATCAGAGCACATAAAACATCTGCATATAGCATGCAACTTTTTGGGTACTCTTCATAAGACCAAAATTTTGCTCCATGGAGGACTTTTTTATTTTTTTATTTTTTTATTTTTTTACAGAAAAGATAATATTTTGTCTCCAAAACTGGAGAAGAAATATGTCACGTGAAATTTCCTAAGGGATCAAAATACTTTTACTCAAACAATCAAGCTTTCTGCTAATAGCACTGCTGCTCACAGTGTATCCTCACAGAGCTCTCAGTGAGGATTACTGTCTCTTACCTGGCGTTTGAAAATTAAGGCGTCGCAGCTCCACTGGGTCTGTTGGATGGTGAGAGGGCACCTCCTTGCTGTTGGGTATGCTGCTCTTTCTAGAGTCAGATTCAGCCCTTTTCCTGTGTGGAGAGAATGAATAGAYGTAAACATAAAGCTGAGGTCTTGCCTATATGAATACAGACATCTGAATTTAATCACTATAATCTAAAAGCGAGATGCTTCTTTCCAAAAGAACATTTGATCCAGTGTAAAAGTAAAATAATTATGCATGCTGAGTGGGGCAAGTATAGCTTGCAAAGGTAGGAGGAATTGAAATATAAAAAAGTCAGAGGAAAATTACTGCATTCTGCAGCAAATTGATCCTCTAGATCATCTTTCTAGGCAGCAGAATAATGAACTGTAACAGACAAAACATGAAAATTAAAAAATCCCATACCATCTCTGCTCCGAAAGCTATCTAGCTACAGCAGTGTTAAATACAGTTACTTAACTTTTCAAGATGTAATTAAAAGATAACATGTAAAGTTCTAATCACGGAATACTTCATATTTTACATACAAAAATCTGAACTGCTTTCTAAGAAATAACTTACATTCTTTAGATATGTCCAGGATGACAGAGAACAGCAAAGAAGACTGTTTTCCTGACTCCTTTCTAGGAAACAAGAGTCTGCCTTGCTGTACTTCATATCTGGAAGGGGTGCACAACACACCCTTCAAGCATCTGATCATATCTATGTATTTAAGGTTTAGATTTTATCTCAATGCTTTTGAAAAAAATAAAGCRACATTTTCTGTGAAATTTTATTAACATTATCAAACTGTAAATAGAGAGGAGTCTATGTTGTTCTGGTTCTGAGTGTGGACTCTCAATATAGGAGAGTATAATCTTTTGTTATAAACTACACAGAATATATTACATGGAAAATATCAACAACTTCATATTTTTATGTAGGAATCTGGAAATTTATTTCCTGAATCCCCAGTGGAATCCTTCATCACTCATTCCTTATAAAGTGCTAAATGAAAATGCAAAATGATATTTTTCACTCAATATAAAGTGAAGATTAAAAAAAAAAAAAAAAAACTGTAAAGAGCTAGATTCCAGGAAAAAAAGAAAAAAAGATTATTTTAAGGGTTAGTTAATATATTTTTTTTTTCCTTTTCAAGTGACTCATAACGTAAATCTCTTACTGTTCTGCTGGGTTCCCTCTTAAAAATGTTCTGTTTGATTTCCCACTGTTCTTAAACTGCTGAACACCTGTTAGTGTTCAGAGAAAGTTGCACACTGCTGAAGATTTCAAAGACTGTGCACAGGAGCCAAACAACACCACCATTGCAGGAATTTTGATTGCTGCTTGAAAGTTATTGGCTTTGTGGAAAAGGAAAAAAAAAGTGTTTTGTTACAAAAATGTTCTGTTTGTTCCCTGGCAAATTGGTAACAATTATACTACCTCCTCTTTAGTGAAGATACACCTATTTATATTATATATATATATACATATACATGCATATATATACATATTTAATTATTATGGAAGGGCTCCTTTGCAATGCTTTATTTTTATTTACTTTTCAGCTGCCACAGTAGCATACTGCCCAACTACTTCCTTTCAAGTAAAGGTGTATAACGTGTCCTTCCATTTTCAAGATATATTTTTATCTTTAATTCTTACTCTTGAAGTTTGGGATCAGTGGAGCTGGCTAGACACCTCATTTTCCACACATAGTTCTTTCTTTGCAAGTTATCAGTGGGCAACACAACTTACTATTCATATATTAAAAGTTCTCAACCTTTTCTAATCGTATACAAAAATATTTTGAACATGCACTATAGACCTGTATAAGGATTTATTATTTATTACTGTACTTAGTATAATTCTGGCTATTGTAGCTATCCAGTCCACACAAATATTGCAATTGTTTCTGGTTATGCAGTGGTCATGGGACATGCATTAAGTAAAAATAAGTCTCCCGAAAACGTACCTCATGAAATCACAAAAAAAAACCAAAMCAAAACAAAAAAACCCACCACAAACAAAAACAAACAAACAAACAAAACCAACAAACCAACAAACAAACAAAACAGTGAAAGGTGACTGTATATGGTGCACTACTTTCATCCTTGTAAATAACATGAAATATCTGAAAAAAACACTTTGGTTTCACATTATTAATGTGAAAGGTCTCCACCTTTCAGTGAAAGGTCTCCACCTTTCACATTACCAACTTTACTGCCTACACTCATTTAGATAAACAGATATACTGTTTTAGATCATTCTCATGATAACAGCCTTTTTCTCTTTTTCCCTTGCTGAAATAAATGGAAGGCAAATACTTTTCACTTCTCACCTGTCTGGTTTACTGCTCCATGTTAATGCAGCAAGAATGGGAAAAAAGGTTTAATGTTAGTTGATCAGCAGCAAAAAGAGTGACTATGACAACAACAGATGCAAGAAATATTATCCTACAGTGAAGATACATAAGTAACAAAAATTAGGAAATGATAGTTCATCAAAACATTTAATGCTTTGACATCACAGAATAAATGGAGGACACAAAGTTAAGATCAATGAGAACCTTCTGCTGCTGAAGAAAACACTTCGGAGATAATCTCCTATATCATTTTAGATATTGTTCACAAAATAAACAGCTCAAAATCTAGCCATTTAGATAACGGAGAACGTATCTAACTATCTAAGTTAAGATTTCATTGGTAATACCTCTCTTGGAGGTGTTGAGAAATCTTTAGATTAAAGATTTTTTAGAGAGAAGAAATTTCTAGAGAGGAGGGGACTGAGATTAGGGACAAAGGGAAGGGTAAATACATGAGCTAGTCTTGAACTAAATTAAAACAAAAAAAAAGTAGACATCAGACATGTATTTTATAAAAACAGGAAATGAAATGGCTGAAATTTTCAAGGTGGCGTGACAAGTAAAGTTATCACGAATCTTTCTCTAATGATCTCCTAAATATCTGTTTAGTGCTAGAACAGCACATGCTACAGATCTACCTCTGTAGATCTATATCTGTGATAGTGTCCTTCACCATCATGTTCCCCAATCTTGATTTTTTTTTTGTGTGTATGTGTGTTTTCTTTAAATATCTCTCTCCTTTAGAAGCATTTTTTTTCTTTCAGCCCAAAATCCAGAGCCTTTACTCATGTCCTCTCAAAGTTCAATATATTCAAAAGATTCTAGCTAAGGTTCTTCTTGTCTGAATCAAACCAAAAAAACTGCACTTCATATAAATAAATAAGATTAAAAAAATGTAAAAAGGACTATGATTTCTCTTCCTTAAGAATGGAAGTATACTACACAAATATTGACTCAAGAAAAACTTGAGCAGAATTTCATCCTACAACAGTGAAGAATAGCAGCAAGAATTCAGAAGTTTGTTAATTTATTCCTTTGATATTTATATGCTTCGGACATATATGGTTGCTTTTTATCTTGTCAGGTACTGAAATATACCGAACTTTTTGGATCTCTGCAACATTCATTAACTGGTTTACCATCTAAAACCACCTAAATCCAGTTTAACTGAATGTACACGATACATTCAAAAGTGAGTCAAGGATTTACTGAGAGTCTGACTAAGCCGTAGGGTGCAGAAGGGTTTACTGCTTTATCAAAAACAGCCTGGGATATAAACCGTGACTCAGACTAACAATCATTGTAATAGTTAGGTATTGCCTCTAAGGGAGACTTAGCCTGCACCAGTTCTATATCAAGACAAGTGTTTGCCTTTGTTTGAGGTTTTAGATATAAATTCTACTACTTTCTGTATTTTAGTCCATGCTTGAACCAGGAAAAAATATACTTTCTTGAAGGCAAAAATATAACCAAAATAATAGTAAAAACAAATTTTTATTTAGTTAATTTACTCTTATCACTGCATTTGAAGGTGTAGATTTTTGACTAGTAGGTTAAAGATTCATCACTCTCCACTCCACATTATCTCCCTTCGTTGAGACTGCAGAATGATATGGCCCTTTTGAAGGGAAATACTGAACCTGTTACGAGTCAAGTAAGTTGTTTCACTTGTGAAACACAGAAAATTAATCAGAAATTGTAAAAATGAAAAAAAAAAAGTTGTTTTTACTGATTTATTTATATACTATTTTATTATTTGCTTGTTTGTTTGTTTATTTTATAAGGGTAGTCAAACAGTGGAACAGGTTTCCCAGAAGGATTGTGCACTCTCCATCCTTGGACATTCACCCACCCTGACTGGAGAGGTCCTGGGCATCCTGCTCAGAGCAGGGGGTTGGACCAGGTCTCCAGAGGTGCCTGCCAGGCTCTGCAACACTATGATTACGTGGTCCTGTCAACTCTTCCTCACTCCATACATTAATCACCTCAGTCATATAGGATATTAAATTGCTGCCATATCCAAAGATAAAAAAGGTGCTGCTCACTGTTTTTCCATCCACTTCTGTTAAATACTAAACTGAAGTGACTTTTTTGACTATATACACATATATGATGCACAAAGTTTCTATGGAATAGCTTTGGTTTTAACAGAAATGAATGCTGAAGCAACTACCTTCATGTACTACATTATAGTATAATAACTACTCTAACAGCTTGGGTTCAAACTGATCATTAAATAATAAAGAGGTCAAACATGCACAGCTAGTCTTTGGGTAACTTATGTGCTGCTCAGTGACCCAGAAAACTTATCCACGCTATCTGATAGCGTCTAGTGTTTTACATCAGGACCAGTCTTCTCCTCTTGAGAAGACTCTTTTATAAATTGCAGTCATTCTTTCTCTGTGATTGAAATGAAAATGAAAAATTAGTATTGTAAATCATGGAATTAGCAGTCCATGTCTCTTCATGGAGACGTCTACAAACAAGGTGAATTAAGCTCAACCCACTGTTACCTGAGTTACTATGCCCTTTACACTCAAAAAAACCATCCTTCTCTTTCCCACCCCAAATCTCCCATTCTCATTACACCAAATTCTAGTTATTAGCCTGAATTGTTACTGCTTATATTTCCTAAGAACTCTAGAAAAAAGAAGTCCAAATTGCAAAAAGACCTGCTCATTTCTTAAAGAACAGGCTATATATAGTTTTTGTTTGTTTGTTTTGAACTTCCTGGCTGTGAAAAATTATTGGTATAAATTTACGTGTGTACTACTGTTTTGTCAAACTGCTATTTTTCCTTCTTCACAGCTGATTTCTTTGCAGAGGATTCAAAATGTGTTGATTTTTTAAAAAGGATGCATTGAAAACATGTTGATTATTGCCTTACTTAAGAGGTTCTAGTTTAAAAAGGTGTTTTTTTTTTTTGAAGAAATCCATCAGTTTTGTTATGTTATTTTCAACATTGTCATTTAACTTTTTCTCTTACGTTAACATAATAGAAAAACAAAATATTAGCTTCAAAATGTTTCATTAATTCAGTGAAGAAATCCAATGTTATGACTATTTTGTCCTTTTCCAATTGTGAACTTCTAGGCATGAAAGTACCATCTCTTAACCAACTTGTGCTTCTACCAAACAGTGTTCTAACTTGACTCATTTTTGCATATCAGTCTTCCTGTCTCCCTGCTAAAGACTAAAATGAACTATAAAGATATATTTACAAAATATAAATTCTTATCTCCTTTTTCCCTTTCTTCAGCTTAATAAGACAATTCAGATTTGTTAATGCACTACTGTGTAGTTCCTATATATTACTTGTGGATTTGATGTCACATAGTCAGACTGCTGTAATTAATTAAATTATCTAATGGACTGAGACCATACAGTAGGGTCATCAAAATCTAATGCATTTTCTTCTGAATTTCTTCTATGAATTTATAAATGCTTGAGCATTTATACTTAAGCAATTACTTAAGCAAGTAATTACAAATTATTCATCATAGTAATATATGAAAAACTGTCTCCTGCAAGCAGAAAACCAGAAATGAATGGTGCTTTTAGTTTATTCTTTCTTAACCTTCTCCATCATTTTTTAATCTGATTTGTGTGCCTGACAGGTCTTATTTGTACATATTTCTTGTGACATAAGTAAATGCACTACTTTTTAGCCATGTAGATATAATATTTTTGTGCATATAATACTTTAAGCTTGACTGATCCTAATTTAGATTGTGTCATTATATATACAAAGTTAGTTATTCTAGTATAGATGATCATCCCTTGGTAGAACTACAACCATTTTTCAGACAAAACTTCTTAAAATGATGCAGTTTAACAACACTTGCACTTTGAAGTAAACTAAAATAAATACTGATGCCCACTTTCTCAAATAGCAATGCTACTACTAGTAAATAACAGATGGAAAATGTGTCCCCAAATTTGTTTGTATGACATTGTCTTCAGAGTACTACTCATGAGCAAGTCTTACCTGCTCATTTGTTCTATATGTCTATAGATTTTTGGTAATGAAATGTGAAGGTTGTAATTATGTATTATGGCCCCATAAATGCAAACAACTGCAGAGGCAGTTGCACATCTGCTTTATATGCCATTGTTTGGTTTTGTTTTGTAGTAAAGGAGAATTAGACTTTTAATAGTGCAAAATAGTCAGAAGAAAGGAGTATTTCACTTTTAGTGCATCTCTAACGACCAGTTTTTGAASTGACAGACAGACACAAACAGAGGTTCGGTGGTATGAAACAATTAGATTCCCTAAGGCAGTAGATATTTATGGAAGACTTCAGGAGATCACACCTGTAAGTGACAGGCCATCTACTATGCKGCAGCATCATTATGACTCTAAAGAATATTCTTATATGGATCTGTTTGGAATACATTTTTTTTTTAAGAGAGAGAATTAATCTCCTCAAAACCTGAAGTCTGTTGGCATGCAACTTCAGGTGTTTTTGACTATGTACACTTAAATTAGTAAGGAAAATATAGGATAATGGCTAGCAGGACTTAAACACTTCACAGCAGGTAAGAAAACCATAGCCATTAGTTTTAGGCTCAATTTAATGAAATTATCTTTCTCAATGTTCTATGTTCTTTATGTTTATAGTTATTATAATTATGCTTTATAAATAAGTTTTGCAGAAGTGCTTTGGAGAAAAAAACACTAAAATGATTTTTTTTTTTTAATACTGTGCTTTTGACTGGGTATCTTGGCCTCCATGCACTCATTTACATTGTAAAAAGCTGCCACTTATAAATTAAGACATTATACACAGTTTGCATCCAGTAAGTTGTAAGGCAGAGGGAAGTCTTCTGTGTAATAGAAGATCTACATATGAATCATGGACAATGAATGAAGAGTAAGTCGAGTTCAATCTGATTGCAAGATCAGTAGCTACTGATCTCATAATTCAGAGCTTCAAATTTATATACATATGTTGCCAAACAGAGGCCAATTGTCAAAAGTAAAAGCTAAGATTACTTGAGTGGAGATGAAAGTCATGTTTAACATCAAGATCAATGTATCTTCCAATGTAGTGCTACTACAGTTCTAAAAATAAAAATTCCAAACTGAAATGTGCTCATTTTGTACATATTTATATGCAAGCACATTTTCTTCACAAACATATTTGAAGTGGAAAAAATATTTAAATGAAGAAATGTTAATGTCATCAGCAGAAAAATAAACCCACTTGCCTATAATTGCAGGAACTTTCAGTCAGAAATCTAATAAAATATCTACAGTGCGATGGAAACTATTAATACATAGATATATCCTACATCCCACAAGATAACAATTACTATTGTAGTACAGATTATGTAGCGTGGTGCAATATAAAAAATGACCAATACATCAGAAAGCTACATACACTGTAAAAGAACTAAACGGTAAACTTACCTTTTATAAAGAAGTATAGCAATAACAATACAGATGATAAACACCACCGCAAGAACTGGTCCTACAACCCAAATCAAGCCTTCTTCCTCATCTGTAATTGGTTGGGGATCGAGATCCATTGACACAACAGGATCAGAATATGGGCTGGTTGCATACATAGTCTACACAAACAAAATAAATCTTACTTAATGATAAAGGAGTGTATTTCAAATAATAAATACTCTAGATCTAAAACATATCTGTACAAAATAATGATGCAACGAACATAGCATTGATTTTTTTTTCAACTCAGACAATATGAAAAATTGTAGACTGAATATTCTGCTGTTATTTCTGCCTTTATTTTGTGACATGGTCTTTCATGGAAAACTCAGCAACTGAAACAGGGACGGTTAGAATCAAKTATTACAGAATTCAAGAGCTATAATCCAGAAATTGCTCTGAATTATATCAGTCAGTTTTGTTTTGTATTTTATTTCATGTTGGTTTAACAGTGTTAAAGTTGTTCTTGCAAAATATATGGAAGAATAGCTATGAAACAATGCAAAACCTATTGAGTAAAATGATGTAGATTACATGTAAGAAGCTCCTGGAAAACAATCCCATGTCAAGAGTGGGATGCAATTCAGTTAAGAGTCAAAAGGACTGCAAGAGAAATAACATGCTCTCACAGAAGATGGAGAATACTTGAATTCATGACAGAAAAAACAGGAAAGCCACTGAAGATTCTAAAGGGAATGTAAACACTGCAAATCTCTAAATACTCAGACCTGGAATTAGGAACTAACTGGAACGGTCAAAAATCTTTTATGTTAACAGTTTGTGTGAAGCCATCTGGCCTAGAAAAACAGTTGTGACAAAAAAGAAAATACCAACTTGTTTTTATTCTCCTCTGACCAGAGATGCGTGATCCGTGGCTGAATATGGAGCTAAAATTACAGACAGGTGGGCAGAGCAGCCAGCTCTCTAAAACAAGATGATGTAAAGATTTCTGAGCTATGATAAAGTCAGAGCCAGAGGACGACTTGTCATTATTTTCTGGTCTTTGCTGGGATTTCTCTGCCCATGGTACACAAGGAAGAGAGCCTCAGTTCAGTCAGAGAACTGGAAAACTTGATTTAGTACTGGTTCAGGAACACTGAGATAAGATAATGAGGAAAAGAGATGAGTTTTCATTTACTTCAGTTTTAAAATAAGAATTATGTAAGGGGGCAGAGGAGACATGCTTGGACTATGTTCTGAAACAAGCCCTGAGCAATGACAAGTGACATCAAAGTATAAGTGTTTTACATCTAATTTGTCATGTTTGTCCTCTTTTTGGATATTGAGTTAGAGCAAAACCAGGAATTTTGGTAGGAGATATGCCAGGGAAGGATGGGGCACTGACACTAACTGATATTAAGCTAACATCTATAGGCATGACATTTATTTATTTATTTATATTATCAGCCAAACATCTAAAAATCTGTGATCACCTGTTGGGGATCCCCAATCCCCCCAATTGGGGAATCTCCATGTCAATTCCCTGGATGATCAAATTTGACTGAGATATTTCTCAGCTCCAGTGTTCTTGCAAAGATGGAAKATAGAACTATGTAAGAAACATGACTTTCTCAGCTTCTTCTGTTGGACCAGGCAGACCAAAATGCCACAGAGGGATGACATGAGAACCACTTACCACTTGTTCTCTAAGAAACAGAATCTTGCTTTTAATTTCTGTCCTACAAGAATTAACGATGTGTTCTCTTAAGGTGAAATTTTACAGAAAAAAAAAACAAAAAAAGGTATTTTGAACAACAAGAAGAAAAATCCCTAGCAAGTTACAACTCTCTAAGATTTTTCAGCTCGTGCTGTCCCTTCACACCCATTTCCCCTTCTGCCCTGCTGGAAAAGTCTGTATTCAGAGCAGTTAAATAAATGGAAGTTCACTTTTATGAACACATGCTCTCTRTGGCAGTTTTACACTAGTCATCACACAAATCTTACAGATGTCAGGCTAAATCAGATGTTTCCCCTGTGGTAAATTTACTAATGCCTTTGAAGAGCTGTAAAAACAGTAGGCTACTGGATACAGATTTTAAGCTCTAAATCCATAACTCATTCCTACTTTTCCATTTTCCATCTCTTTAAAAATGTAATAATCTCTAAATGAATTGAAGGAATAATGCCTTAATATTTAATATTAAATATGAAACATTATTTTATATTGAAAATAAAAAAATATATATAGGTATTCCTCACATGGATATTTGGACCACTAGCTTTATAGCAAAACTCTGTCTAGTATCTCTATTTTGAAACTTCATGATGCAGCCTTCACGCTGCTTTCTGTTTGCGGTCATTGTCAAAAAGCAGAAGTAAAATTCTGATCTTTGTTATGTCTTGAATTCATATTATCAGTGCAATAGTTTCAAATGTCTGACCCAGCAAATTTAGCTGTCAGGTTTAGGAATCAATTAGAAAGGTATCATGTAATATATTGCATGTTAACATGTTAGTGTGCATTGTAACTTATTTTAACAGTCTTGTTTCTGTCTCTGTTTAGTTACTATTTTTTTTTTAGTAATATCACACACAGCTAGATTAACTCAAGCAGAAAGGGACACAGGAATAAAATGATTTACATAAAGAGAAATGACAGCTCATTATTTAGCTCACCTCAGGAATTCTCTATATTACTAAATCATTTTTTAAGTTTCTAACAATTCACTGATAAATTTGGGAGGAAATTACTATCATTAAAGAAGCTTGCTGTGCTTGTCTCTGCTTCAAGAGATCTTTCCAAGAATTCTTGGTAACCAGCACTGCTGTTCAATGCTTGTCCACAGGTAGCAGAGGAACTCTTTTGTTAAAGACTTTGGGGAAGATGCTGCTGTAAAGTTCATACCTTAGTAACTGTGTCAGTCTCACATAGTAGAGACTTTAATTTGCAAAGGATCAGAACACACCTCAAAAAAGGTCCTCAGTGTTTTATTACACACATAGGCAACACTTTTAAATGAAAAAAAAAAAAAAAACACCTTCAAGAAATTAACTGGAAATAGGGAAATAGCTGAAGAATCACTAACTTTTCAGATGCTCTGACATATGCTGTAGAGACTTGGCCTTTGGGAAGTGGAATAAGCATCGACAAAATGTTTTGATGATTATGGAAATGTAAATTTGCGATTAAGAAAGAGTAACTTACAGATTCCGAGTGCTCCATTACAGCCAACACAAAGAAGACATATTCTTGACCACTCTGGAGTTGCTTATTCTCAAAGCCACCATAATGCTTTTTATCCCCCAATGTGAACTCCGTAGGAAGAACATCAAAGTGAGCTGCAATATATGGCTTTAATTCAACTTCTCTCGCAAGACGAATGCTTCTGCGTTTCCTAGATATCTCTTTAAGCAACTTTAGAAAGAGGAGAGAGGAAATAGAGAGAGAAATCAAAAACATAAAGATTAATGCAACTTACTGACAGTGGAATGATAAAATTTAATTCATGGACAGGAAATAGAAAATATAGGACTCTATCAGTTCTTGCAAAATCTTCCAATTTCTTGCCACTCATGTGAAGATAAGATACTAGATTGCAATTGCACTGCAAGCACAGGTCAATTAGATCAATTCTTGTGCCTGATACTGTTGTCTTTGCAAATAAAAATTCAAAACCCAAGAAAGTTATACACCATTTCTGTTTTAAAATGAGTCACTGCATAGTGTTTTTTTCCGTTCTGCATATGCCAGGTAATTTCTTATCTACAGTATAATAAAACTTATTAACAGAAATAATATATTTAAATATGTGAATATATAGCAAAATTTGGAAGAAATAACTCTTTTCCCCCCCGAGAATTCTGAAATACAAACTCGGTGTTAACTAGTTTGGAGAAAATTATAAACAAATGTAGATAACTACTTTTTTAAAGAATGGTAATATTTTTGTATCACCATAACAGATCTTGTGAAGATTATTTGCAAGTATAGAATTCCTCAAAACCTGAAAGAAATGTATTTTTGCTTTTAACCCTATTTCATAAAAGTAAATGGAAGCACAGAAAAGATTTTGGGAATGATTTATAAGCATATAAATCCCTAGAATGAAATTTACTATCATTTATTTGCTCAGAAGCACAAAAATCAGGTGTTTCATGATATGCTCAACACCATAGAACCCTTCAGTGATGAGAATCAACAGAGGAATTGTAATACCTTTATTTTCCTGYTGCTAGACTAGAAAAATATCTACATAGTATACACAACCTACATGAACATTCCAGGTTTAAATTTCATAACATGTCTCTCAAAATGTAAGTTTTCCTCATGTCATTAAATATTTTCACTGATGAACAAAGCTAAATTTTGTATCAGCACATCTGCAACAAGATTAAATCAAAGTTGTAAAACATATTTTAAATAATGAAGGAAATAAAACATCGCTGGTATAATCCACCAATGAATTACTAATTAATGCAGACAAATGCTTATTCAGTACCTTTTATGACTTTAGATACAGTGGCACTCAACAAATATTAATTTGAATTGTTTACAAGGAGTCTGAAGTTTTCCTGGGTAGTAAAGTGATGACTTCTAAGGCTGATCCAGTATTCCCTTGATTTTCACCTACGAAACTTACTCAACGTCTTGTTTTGAGGCCAAAAAAATAGACTCATACTCCAACCATATATTTTTCCAAGGTCAAAGAGTTCTTTTAAGCTTTGCAGTACACAAGCAGTGCTAATAGAATGGATAAGCACATTTATTTTTATGAGTAGGAGGCAAGTGTCCAGAGCCAGACAGGCATCAATAAAAAAAGAGATTAAAATTCAATTTTTACTATATATTTCCATTTTAACAAATATGCTCACTCAGGGAAGCTTCAGACCTTCTCCAGTGTTACACGCCAGTTTAGCTGGCACATCTTGCTTTCCTCACAAAAGATCTTGCATTTCCAACAACACAGCTAACAATTTCCAAGCACATTAGTCAATCTACTACGCCTTGTCTTATGGACACAGAAGCTTTTAACAGTGATCATTAACACCCTTTCTCATTACAATGCATATTTCAGGCTTGGGCTGGTGTGTAGACACTGGACCTAAGTTGCCCCAGCAGTACAGGGTGTTTGGAAGCTGTCCCATCACTGATCCATGCAGCTGGATGCTTTCCAGCCATAACAATGTGCCCCAGGCAGGCTTTTCTCTGCCACAGAGGTTTTATGCTCATTCATCTCTATCAACTTCCATGCTCCAGTACAAAAACTGGTAGGCTGGAATAGATACAGAGAAGGAATTAAAAAAAAAAAAAAAAAAGGTTTTCCAAAACTTCAGAGTCAAAACTGTTACTCATCACTCATCATTAAAGACTGCTAGCACAATCAGCAGTCCATATTTCTTCTTCACTCTTCTTAAACCTTCTGCTGAGGTACAACAAGGCTTGGGAAGTTCATTTTCACAAGGTGGCACCTGTTACTGTGATGGAACAGCAGACTGTCAAGCATACAGATTGAATTAGCAACAAAAACGTATTAAGTTACTAGGTGGAAATGCAGAAGTCCTATAGTACAGTAGGAGAAGTGCTTAGAAGCGGTCCTTCTAAGGATTTAGCAGTAAATGTTAAAAGTCAACTAGTCCCAGTTAATCAAACTGTATACAACAGGTAACAAAGATTGTTTCTGGTCACCTAGGGCCAGCTTCACTTTTCAGTGTAGCTGAAAATCAGCATATTTTTTCAGTATATAGACAAAAAGTTGGCCTGTGACCAAATTTATCTGCGACAAATTACACACAATTAGATCTCATGTGTATCTCTGGCTTCATTCATATTTCACATACAGATGATGTTGCCAGATATCGTTACTTTCACATATATCCCCTGTAGTACTTAATGCTAGGACTTCACTTAGTTTTTTTAAATTAAAAGATTTTACACTCAGGCTTTCATTTAGGTTCCATTGATTGTAAATATAGATTTCTATTAATACTGTAAATCATAACATTTTATTTTGAACCTAAACATATGGCATATTTGATTGACATCATTAGGTCTCATAATGAAAATAAAGTGAAATATTGACTTAATATAAAAGGATTGTACCTACAGTATCAAGTCCATTATAAGATCCCGTATTTCTCAGCTTCTTTCAGAACTAASGATTCAAACAATTAGGAAGAATCAGTAGCCACAATTAGACTAGACAGTCCATTTGACTAGTGATTTATGGACTTATCACTCCAGAGTTGTGTTTTCAGCAAAGAGTATTTTTCAGGCTAGGGAAAGCATATGGGAAAGGCTCTCTTGGAAAATCTCTTTTGATAATAGCTAGCCATCCAAGGTTGTACCAAGAGAAGAGATGAGCTAAAGTTTCTTTAGTTTATCATTGGAAACTAATTGTTCAGGCAGTAGTATGGTTAGCTTCTGTATTTTTTTCTCCATTATTTTTTATTGTTCAAATGCTTTCACATGTTTGATAGGAAAAATACATCCAAAAACACTATGCAGATCTTATTTTCTAAAATACGAAGAAAAATAATCTTTTTAGTACAAGAAAGTGGATGAGTGAGCATGAAGTACAGGCACTGCCTGCTTGTGATTTTTTTTCCCCCTCCTCAGTAGTTACTAATGTATTGGTAGCAATTGTAAAAAGATATATCAAGGGCTTAGTTCTTTATCAGAAATAATTTTCATTTTCCAGTCAATGCATATCTTATTTCTTCCACCATTAATTCTACAATGTGGTCTCAATTATATCAGTAAAAGTGGGAAACAACCCATCCTGACCCAAATATTTCTGAATTAATAAATGTTCTTTATCAAACTATTATACAGATTAATGCACCACAACTTGCAGGATGATTAAAATGACCCTTTGTTATGGGAATCAGCAGTACAGACCCGTAAAATTTAATTGCAAAAAAGTTCARTGTCATCTGGCACCTATCCTTTAATCTGTTAATGCTGCTGGTTTTGCCTGTAGTTTCTCGAGGTTAAAAGTGGATGGTAATACTAAATCAGTTTTCAATTACTGTATGGATCCTGTCAGAAGAATTTGGCTGTATAACTGCATTTGATGTTACAATCATGTGCTGGCGCATGGCATTAGCAACCCAACTTTTTTAAAGTGAAGAGGTTAATGGATCAGAAGAAGTGGACACCGTATTTGAATTAACGTGATGGCCACGCTAGGCCAAGAAAGGAAACCGGCCAAAAGTAAATACAGGCTTCAATCAGTAAGATAGCAGTAACAAAAATATCCTCAGCTTTGTGCATTTTCAGTTTCTTTGGATGGAGGTTTTCCTTTTTGCTTTTACTGATCAGAAACTTCAGACTGACACATTTACTTAACAGCGTTACTAAAGGAGCTTAGTTTTGAAAGCTTTCCATAGCGGTCTTGGTTTGATGAATATCTTCATTTCCCTCACATTTTGGTGTACATATGGAACATAATACTTGCTAAATTGGAGATGGGAAGAAAAGTAGGTGATTGCTTGCACAGTGTTTATGACTTTCCACTGATCCTTATCGGGGAATGAATGGTATTTCAATACTAGATTCCTGAATTAACCAAAGAAATCAGAAGAACAGATAGAGTCCAGTAAAAATATCATTAAATTAGGAGTAAAGAAATTGCTTTGATCTCTGATTTTGATTTGCCATGAATTATAGAGATATATATACAAAATCCAAAGGCATCTTAAAGGGAACTATAATCCTAGCCTAATAATACTGATAATTATTAGTGTTTATTATAATGATCTATAAACCCTATTCTTCTACAGAGCTTTCATATAAGACTCTCAAAGAGCTACAAAGATAAATCTTAATATTATCCTAGATTTACAGGTTGAAAGAAAGACAAATTAGACTCAGTTATATCATCCTTTAGAATAAAAAACAAGAACAGAGTGAATGTAGACAGACTTCTTAGAATTATCATATCAAAAGCATAATAAAATGATTTCTATTATTATTGGTTTGGTCTCTGAAATGGAGACAATTTGCTGTCAAAACAGAGATTTATGGAATAATATGTTACTATGATCATTATCCTCACAGTAAAGAAGATTTTCCCCATTTCAGATGGACCTTCSTGTGCTTCAGTTTGTGCCATTGCTTCTTGTCCTATCACCGGCACCACAGAAAGAGCAATTGAACTGCATGGAAAAGATGCCCCCTTAGTCTTTTCTTCTCCAGGCTGAACAGGCCCAGCATTCTAAGCCTTTCTACCCAAGACAAATGCTCCAGTCCTCTCATCATTTTAGTGACTGTTTGCTGGACTCTCTTTAGTAGCTCCATGCCCCTCTGTACTGGGCAGACCAGCACCAGACACCTGCAGAGATGGCCTCAGGGCTGAGCAGAAGGAGAGGATCACCTCCATATACCTGCCTTTGGCCTTCTTGGCAACAAACGCACACTGCTGGTTCATGGCCAACTTGTCCATCAGGACCTCCAGGTTCCTCTCCACAGAGAGGAGACATTTCCAGCAGATTAGTCCCCAAACTAATGATTTCTCTTTCCTATTGCATTCATTTATTTCTGAAAACCACCTCTCAGGAATGGAGAACAGTGTAAAAGTTCTCTCAGCAGCATTACAGGACGTGAGAAACAGGTAAAGATACTATGAGGAAGGTCAAATGTTAAATTGCAGTGCAAATTGCAATTTAGCATTTGTTTCAGGCTTAACAAACACCCCAGTAATGAACCAGACCTTTATTAGAGTTCATATCATTGGTGATTAAGCCTTTGCTGACAAGTCATTTCACCTTCTGCCCTTTTGCATTACGCTTTACAATAGGCACAGAATAAAATATTAATGCCAACAAAGATCAGGCATTTTGTGTGCTTTATTGAAACTTAATGTCTTTAATGTATTTTAATTTAAGTAATTTGAACTTTGTTTCAGTCCCCCACAGGCTAATTCAAACACAAATATAAAATTTCCTGACAACTAAAAATTCCAAAACTGGTGAGTTAATCAYATACCACTAATAAGATCATTTCTGTAGTAAAGAAGAAGGAAACCAAAAATAAACCATACCTCATCTAGTTCCATTTCATCTGGGCTTTCCCACGGTTTGATAAACTTTCCACGAGACCTCTTCAAAGGCACAATAACAATGTAATAACCCCTGCGAGGAAAACAGTAGGACAAGAGGAATGTTAAAATAAAGGAGATAGGTAAACTGATGCACCTCTTTACAGGAACCTTTTTAATRTATTAAAATGTATTTTTTTTAATACATCATGTTGAAGGTAAACTTTTTTTATAGCAGACTTTTAAAATATAGTCAAAAAAGTTCATAGTCTTGGAAAATAAATAAATCCATCTCAAAGTAAAATGTTTGTCAAACAAATGTCACTAATTACCTGCTTTTCATGTAAACACATAAATATGTATAGAAAAGTTTAATTACAATGTTCTGAAATGCCTGCATGGTTGACTGCAGTTTATTATCTCATTTGAAATACAAAAGTCACGAGGCTCTTGTGCCCTGCCATCATTTAATAGGAAAAAAAAAAAAAAAAAAAAACACTCCAAAACCTGAAACATATTATGGTATTTTTAAATCTCAATTATCACCTCATCTGCCCCCAGTTTCATATATATAAGAATGGAAGGTTAAAATTATGTGTTTGTTGATGTTTTCACTGCTATAAGCAGATAATGAGACATACTGTACTATCCACCTATACATGACAATGCTTTCAGCACCAATGCCCATTTCCCCGTTAGTCAAACTATTTTTTTTTTCTGCTTAACTATTCTGATCACAGATGAGAGCTTGCTGTATGCAGAGTCAGGACCTGAATATTATGTATATCCTGAGTTATCTTTTCACACACTTTTTTTGAAATATCTTCCTACTCTCCACCATGGTGAGGAGTAAGCCATACTTCCAAGTATAATAGAGATATGGCTTCTCATGGCTTACGACGTATTTTCCTATTTTTCTTAACAGAAACATGYCAAGCAGAACAACAATTTCACATTAGTGTGAGGAAAGAAGGTAGCAGAATGACAGCAGCAGGGCATCCAGTATGTAATATATACAAGTTCTTGATAAAAACACTTGTCAAAAGGTCAAGCACCCTCGATCACAGAATGAGGCTGAGAATGAGAAGCTGCCCTCTTTTGTTGCTAGTAACAACAGAGCTCATTGTAGAGCTCAGGGAGTCTCTGGATCGCCACCAAATGTAATTCTCGTGGGCCTTCTTCACCTGTTCTAGCCCACTATTTTATACCTCCTTTCCACCATCTGCAGTGCAAAGCAACCACTCAAGGATTACATTTGAAAAAAAAAAAGTGAAGTAATTAATGAAAAACAATCTACAGAAACAGACTTACCTTCCAAATGATTAAAATTAGTCCCATCTAAGCAATCCCTATAAAACGGTATTTTCCTCATACATTATAACTGCTGTATTCCTATTATTTAAATAAAATTTGTAACATTTTTTTTATAGTAACAATGAGATAAGTCATTTTGTATGTGAATGTTCTTATTCAAAACTAGCGGTGCTGCTTGACACATATTTTAAAGCTAAGAATGTATTTTTCTTCAATATTACATGATTTTTGATGTTTTATATATATAAAAAACCCTAAGCTATCCAAATATTTTCTCAGCTTCATAACAAACAATTAGTCTTTCAGATATATGATATTTTTCCATATGTGAGAATTAAAATCAAAACATAAATTTTCCTTTGAAATAGAAGACATTTGACAGGACTCTCTGTCAGTCACAGCTGAACACATCTGCCTAAATCTTCCCCTCTAGTGAGCTTCCCAAGAACAAAGAAATTATTCTATTAAAAATAAAAACAAAGTTTTTTAATTAGATCAGGAATTAAAATATTAAAATTCTTTAATAGAGAAAAACCTCAAGAGAGATGAAGTAAATTGGACTAGAAATGGAAATAAGTTATAAAAAATTCTCCGCTGTTGATCATAGTTTTATTTTCTTAGCAGGTTTCTTACTTTTTGCTTGACAACTTTCTGAATGGCAGCAAGCCATCACTAGGACTTTTACATCCTCAAAGAACCCTGCCAACCCTACACCCAACTTGCCTTCTTCCAAGACAGGACAAGGCCTAATCTTCCTTTTCAAATAGGTAATCTTTCCCAGAGAGCATAACTTATCAAATTGAATAGAAATAAAATAAAAATTTCTCAGAAGCTGTAAGATGACAAGATAAATACTTTAGTAGTTCAGGACTGGTTTTCCTTGGTGACTGAAATAATATTCTATCAAAAATAATCAGACACTGAAGAAAGGTTAGTTGATGACACTTTGGAGTACTTTCAAATTACATGTCTGCTTCCTGTCAATAACCTGTGCTGTTCTTTGGTTTGTCCCAGAATGAAACAGCTATTTCATACCAATTTTGGTGGGATGGGAAGCTGAAGAAAGGTGGGAATTGGAAGGAATATGTCTACCCTTACTGGTAAATACCTGCCCCGATTTTCATATATATAACTTATCCTCTACCTATAGTAACTTTGATTTGTCTTGATTTTCAAATGCTGCCAAAATCAGAGGAAGAAGAWGATAGTTCAGAAGGTCAGTCAAATACCGTAAAAACAAACAAACAAAAAAATCCACAAAAAATACCCACTTAGATAGGTACATCTATTCTCTGAAGTATTTCCAAGGGAGAGGTTAATTTTCTCATCCTTCTTCATTTCCTATCTGTGTTTAAACTGGCTACAAGTTAGCTGCATCACAGAAAAAAAAAAATATACCTCCTAAATCAATGCATGCAAGTAGTCAGAGACATAAATCTTTCTCCTAATACATTAATCTTTCTTCTGCTATGCAAAATGAACTAGTTTCAATTATCAAACTGAAGGTTGTACTCTAATCTGGTATCAATGAATAATTTTAACTGAAATATTAAAATTTCTTCTTTCTTATGTTGTTTCAAAGAGATTTGGGATATAACCATTTTCTGCAAAATGCAAACTTATTAACATGTTTAAATCCAGACTTCTGGACAATTTCCTTCTTTATCTGCACATACCATATTTTATTAGATATTATGTTAACAAGATATTAACAGAAATACATGTTACCATGAGTAAGAAATCCTAATGAATGCTGTCTTTTTTGGTCAGATATTCAATAATTACAGCTAATAGCTGAGATGAATCTGCTGGGTGAACTGCAGAACTCCTTTTTAGACCCCTTTTTAAAGCTGATGGAGTGTTAGTCAAGGAATAATTGGCACGTAAATATCCTATTCTCACTTTCTTCATACGTGTCTTCTGCTCATACCTTTTGCTTATAATAGCTTTAAGGATGTTTCATACATGCATATATTTTTGGAACATACATTTCCAGCTTTAGCACTGTTATCTAAGTATAGAAAAAGCAAGCAGGAAAACGAATTTGTTCACCTGTATGCACAATGCTACAAATTGGTAAGAACAGCAGTTTTCTGTCACTCCTTGCTCCAGAAAATACAGCTACCCTTAAAAATGATAGGGGGCAGTTGGAGGAGAGTCTCTTGATATTGCCTCAACTACTGAATATAGATAGGACCAAAGCCCTGCACAAAACTATGTTTTTTCAAAGTTATAATTAAAAAATAGTTAGAGATTTAGAGTAAGATGCATTATCTTTTACCTATAAACACAGCTTTGAATTAGACCAAAATACTTAAGGAAAACACAGAAAATGATCCACTGACTTTTAATAGGAAAACTTCCTTAAAAGGAAGTTGTTCTAAAACCTTCAATTTTAGGAAATATTTTCAATTTTACTTAGCATATGAAAGACTCTGCATCACCATCAGACACTAATATAATAAAAATTACTTCTAACATCTTTTATAAATTATAGGCTTTTAAAACATCACCCTAACTCCCATCAGTATTTACCTATAACTTGTTAGAGTGAGCCATTAACTGTTTCACCTTCTGGGTAATTAATATTACTAAAACAGTGTCAGTATGGACTTGGCAGTAGGATTGAGAAAATCATGAATATATAATGTAACAATACACGAACAGCAACTGTAAAAATGTCAACATAATTATTGCACAAAGTTTTTCCTCTTTCCTCTTTCCACTTACAAAGCATGTAGTTGCTATCATTTCACTTATTCTAGCAAGCAGCATGTATCTAAAGAGGCAAGTCCTTCTTGTTCAGTGCGTAAATGTGTTTGAATGCTTATTTCCAATAGTTTGCCCAACCACTTCTTCCTCATATCTGACCACACCATCTTAGGAAATATGTACAAAAGGAGGAGCTATATAGCTGCAAAATTRGCAACTGAATTGCTAGGTTTAATATATTTTTGCTGCTGCCACTTACTGGCTTTTGGGGCATTGTTTCTCTTTCTTGTGCCATTTTCTGCTATTGTCTGACCAACTATTCAGAGCTCTTTTTTCTGTCCGTAACAGTCTTGCCTCATAAATCTTTTTTGACTCATTCCATCTTCAGTCTTCCTTAGCTGCATTTGTAACTGACCGCTTCTTACTCAATCTAATGATAATGGCAACATTTTTCACTTTTTCATCCTTTTAATATCTCAAAGTCATTTCTTTCTTGACCTTACCTGCCTCCAAGTCCTCAGGCAGTAATGAAAAAGGGGAGCAGCTTTCTACAAAGCCATCAGTAAAAATCCACAAGGGAGAAGGCAGGCTGAATCCCCAACAATATTTAATGACTTGCTCATTTTCCTCCCCATTTCCTTTACATTACACATGGGAACCTTACAGACCAACAAGAATCACTATAGGCAGAGCAATAACACTTATTGATCGTACCGTGCTTCATGTTTTCTCAGCAAGTCCTTACTGTCTATCCCTTCTAATCCCTGCTGGCCCTGTGCTGTCAGCTTCTCAGTCTTATTTCTGCTGCTTAAGTCTCCACAATATGTTTTCACTGAAAATATAGGTAATCTCTGGTAAAAGCTTACATCATTTTCTGCAAAATCTCCAATTTTCTTACGAAGGCCAGCAGACATTACATTAGATTTTGCTTTCTATATTAAAAAAAAAAGTAATTCAAAATTCATTCAAAATTAATTTAATCATTAATGTTTGAAATAACATTAATGAAATAATGATAATCTAAAACTCCACACAAATCTGGAGTGACTGAGTATTTCAAAGTGCTGTGAATGGACCTTTAGACTTATGTTTTGTTCTTTATGAAAAGATATAGCCTTCAAAACTGACTCACTAAAATTTTTTGCGCTATTTGAAATCAGTGATAAAGTATAAAATTACTATGGGATGCCACTACAGTACACAGAAAAGCCTTCCTCCACAAATGCACATCTAGAGTCTACTCAGTTTCACATACATAACTGACAATATTATATTCATAATTAGTCAAAATACTACTGAAGACTATATAGAGCTCTCTATACTATCATGAAGTTGAAAACTTGAGTCCACCACTAGAGTCCTGGTAAGATCAGTGAAAATAATAATTTGTTATTTTATTCCTTTTTCTGGAGATGAAAACAGTGAAGTGTCATTTCCCAGCCCCAACACTCAAACTCACTTTATATTCTCATTTGTAGGTACTTCTGGAAGTTCCACAGTTATCATGCCATCCAAGTTGGTTTTTCCAATGAAGACTGGCTTGGTGCGCAGTACATCAGGAGCAGTCTTTGCTGTCACTCTGTGCTGAAGACCTCCAGCACTATTTCCTCTGTTTGTCAGCACAAATGAGTAGGATGTTTCTGGCTTCAAGTTAGTGATCAGCTTTTGAGTAGCACGTCCGTCAACCTCTACCACCATTTTCCCATCATCGTAGAGTATCTAATTTAATATACAAATCAAAAGAGTCTTTAGGTACTGAGGAACAGCCTCATTGAATTCATGAATTAAACTAACCATGAATTTAAAACGAAACAATTCAGGTATTTTAGGAACTGTACTAAATTCACTCCTGCAACATTTTTATTTGTTTGCCTTTTAGGGGAAAAAAAAAAGAAGAACCTAATTCTTTAAAAGTAAACACTGCTAAAATTCACTTCCACTTAATAAAATTCAGTAACTGTGGTGAATCCCCCATTTATATCAAGGGCTTTTTGTGGCGTACCACTTACTTGTCCTTAGAGGACGAGTAAGAACTTCAAGAACTTGAATAGTTCACTGAATACTGCTCTTTACTGGTCTTTTTGCAAGATAACAAAAGTCATGGAGAAAGATACAGAAGAAACACAGATTAGAAACAACAGGAACAACAGGTCAGACTACAATTACATTAGTTTGTGATGTAAACAAGTTATAAACCATAAGTGTATCTTGCAAATGTGAGGAAGTAAAAACAAAATGATTTCAGTTACAACCACTACAGAGACGAGGGAAACATACATACATACATATATGTGTGTGTGTGTGTGTGTGTGTATATATATATATATATATAATCTAAAATATAAGAGCAATGAATTGGGCAAAAAGATCACGTCATGGGTGCTAACTAACATCTGACAATTTGTAACACTGTCACAATGGTGGAAAGTTCATCTCGCTAATGGACTGAATTTAAGTACTTGGGTCAATAATGCTCATTTTAAAATACAGTAGAAGCAAAAACAATCCACATATTCAMTAAACTACTTAACCAGATGAAATCTAGTCCTATATTTGATGTCTGAAAAAGGGAAAGCAACTTACTTTGAACGGTAAAGCAGAATTGTAATTTTCAGGAATTTCCCAAGACAGCAGAACTGAAGTCTTCATTACTGCTTTAACGTGAAAATTTTTTGCAAACACTGCTGGAAAAAAAGAAACAATGTATATAAACAGCACCTTGGAGCTTAGAAGTAGAAATATTTCCACTGGTACTGGGTATTATTAGCTTTCCATTTAGGGCGAAAACTCAACACAAATTCAATTCRCCGACCTGCTTGTTCCTATCATTTAAATATCACATTCTACCAAACCTCTTATATAGTGCCAGCTCATATGTAAATTCTCCTTACCTGAAAAAATCGTGAAGATGTTAGCCAGAACTTGCTTGGCAAAGGAAAACTGAATTCTAAGGCATCCAAAACATATTAAGATTTACATACTTTACCTTTTGTTTTTGTTGAACCTATTTTTATGAATGGGTCGGTCAGTTTTTTTTACAGCTTCAAAAACACTGATATCCAAAGACCGACATTCCTTTTAAGGTCAACGCCATAAGCAGACAAATCCTACCTTGATCCACAGGTAGTGTCCTGAACTGGACACTTGGACTATACGGACCAGGCCCTTTGCTTGTATGGGCACGTACTTTTACATCATATGTGGTATCTGGTTTTAAGCCAGTAAGTGTCATAGTGGTATCAGCAGGAACAACGGGGAGCTCAACTGGCTGGTAAGCGACATTGATATCTCTGTACAGGATGGTATATTTGGTGATAATGCCATTTCTCTCTGCCAAGACTGGCATCTGCCAAGTTAATTGAACTGACGTAGAAGTGGAGCTCTCCGAGTGGAGGTTTTGGGGAAATCCACTGGGTACCTCTTCAGGAACAGAGATCTCTTTAACCATCTCCTCCCCAAAGCCCACTTTATTTCTAGCCGAAAGCCTGAAGACGTAAGAAGCTCCCTTGTGAATATCTGTGGCTGTGAAGTGGTCTTCCTTCTCTGAGAACTCCATGGTTGTGAAGGTATCCATGTCCTTGCGGCCAAACTTCAGGCGATAACCCTGCAGTGGGCCAAAGGTTTCGACAGGAGGGTGCCACTGAATGAGAGCCGTGTTCATCTGCGTGTGGCTAATCACGAGACGAGGTTTGCCTGGAACTGTAGCACAACGTTATTTAAAAGATGCTAAATACAAATGGAATCGTACATATAATTCTTAGGGAATTGTATATATAATTCTTGAATTTTGTTTTAATGAGAATATGGGTGAATTTTCTCTTCCCTCACTCCTCGTTCCACAAATTACTATCTTATGGAAGAAATAATGTCCAAATTCCTGCACTATTGAGTTATACAGCATTCAGGATTTGAACAGCAAAGATATCTATTGTTTTTTTGTGTACTTTCCTTGCATTAATTTCGAAATATGGAGAACATTTAGAGCCATGGGACTTATGAACACAAGTCAAGGAGTAAAAATTAAAACAGACATCATATGAATGCATCTGTTTCACTTACAAATCCTTGCTTGCAAAAAAAACCAGTATTGTCATAAGTATTCATTAAATTAATCCAAGACATATTTCTGCCATCCTGTAAATGGAAAAATAATAATTACAATAGAAATGGAGATATTACATGTTTCTAAATTTGTCTAGTATAAATCTTGTCATCAAAAGTTAAAACAAGGTACAAGGATAATCAGGCTAATCTTGCCCTCACCAGTTCTGGTATTGTATACCGTGGAATATTTTAATACCTATCTAAATGCATATATCATCTCCAGCATCATAACTAGTTTCAGCTTGAAGCAGCAATACAGTCTTGCATCAAATCTTTTGATTATTCCTGTTTATTACATACTGTTTTAGTTTCCAGAATGGCTGGTGCATGTGAAATGGGTTTCTTCTGGGGAAGTGAGAAAAACCCACATTGTTATCTGGGACCGTAGGATCCAAATTAATGATTGATGTTTAAGGTTCACATCATTTAGTGTAGTGGGGACATTTAGTCAGAGGATTAATTAAACCTAATCTAGGATGAATTCTCATCACACACTTTGCATGGTAAATATATTTTGGGGTCTCCGTGTCAATTTCTCTGTGTGTTTTGTGTGCTTTTTTTGCAATAAATTATTTGATAATGAAACATATCTGTAGTAATATTTAGAAAATTGGTCTTCACTGTGTACAAGAGTCTGACAGGTCAAGAAACTAGTGTAGTTTTAGGAATGGTAGTGCCATGGTAACAGTCTTGAAGACTAATTAGCTCCTTGCACATTCAAAGCTTTCCCACAAGAAATGTAATTGCTGGACTGTGAGTTCAGGTTCCTATATTTAGGCACTTCAGTGAGTTTTATTACTTACACTTACTTCTTAGACTCCCAACAAATCAGATTCTTGTCTGAGCTTCTGACTACCATTCAAAAATGAATTAGGAAAATGGGGAGAGGAATGACACAGCTTGAGGAAAATTCTGCAGTTAAGTTCTTTCCTCATTATGTCTTCTAAAGTCCAGACATTGCTTCTAATTGCATACAAATTTTAATTTAGTTTTTATATATTTTTTCCAAATCCTATTCATTTTAAGTATTCTATTCTAGTGCAAATGTGTTCCTAAATCTTTTTCTCCTGCACTTCCTACAGCATAAAGGACTAATTGTAACTAGCTCTAACTTTTCTGAACTGATGAGTCTTTATGGAAAGAGAAATGTGATGGCTTTTTGCAGGCCATATTTTTCTCTGTATTTTAGGTGCTACTAAGGCCAATGGAACATATGAAGAAGAAGAGTACACAAAAGTAGAATAATTCATAATTTTAGAGCAGAAACTGCTGTAAGGTGTCACTAAATTAAATAGTAGGACGAATAGCTTTCTTTCTTGTGGCAAACCTCACAGTTTGAACTATTCTTTAACCTTGGTGGTACCTACAAATAAACTAAAAAATCGCTACTTTTTCTTGATTGGAGAAGGGGACTTAATAAAGCTTGCTTATCTAATTAAAAAAAAAACACACAGAGAAAAGAGCATATGTTGTCCAATGGAGTTTATGTGATTTTATGACATGCATGAATTACCTTTTTGCCAAGATAACAATTGTTGACAGGGAAAGAAAATGCTTTTCCCTTTCTTTTATATCACTAGATAGGTTTTAGGTAATGTTTCTTTCTGGTATCATCAGTTGTAAATATTAGCCTTTTAATACAAAGGGAGGATTCTGTGAAGTCTTACATACAATAACATCATGGAATACCTATAACTAGAAATTTCTTCCTAAAGTAGTATTTGAACTTGCCAAGAACCAAATGAAAAGAATCTGCTTATGAAAAATATATTCTCTGATCTTCTAGTAAAGTCCATCCCCATAATTATTTAGCRAGATGTCCCTCTAATGCTCCTTCATGATTTCCCTCAAATGCTCCTTTGTAGGAGTCATTACATCAAACAGTTGCAACATTGTTAGCAGAATCTCTGGCAAAGTGCCTTTTCTAAATTACCCCAAGTGATTTGTTTCCATGAACTATTATGCAGTATACCCATTGTCTTTATGTAAATATTTTCCTATTAGCCAAAAAAGAGAGAAGGAAAGAGAGA